CTCACTTGTTTGAGACCCAAAAGGCAAGACCACCCTTCAAGAAATCCTGCTTTGTTGGAGGCAGAATTCCAATTTGTGGGCTTTTCTGGGCACCTGAGCCTGCAACCAATGCCGACTGTAAGGCCTGGTTCCCCTCCCCGCCCGCCCCCCGATTCTAAGCCAAGGCTGCAAGAGCTTCTGAGAAAGAGAAAAAGATCAGCCCCAATGCCAAAGGGGCAGTGGCCACTAGCCTCCTGCCTTGTGAAAGGACTGTCCCCACACAAGCTCCCAGGCGGGAACCAAAACATCCTCTCCCAGGTCCAGGCAGAGGATCCAGCCAAACCCAGTTCCCAGCCCCGTCTGGACTAGGCTCAACGCGAAAGCAATCTGTTTGGGGGACTGACACCTCTCAGAACATCTGCTTTCTCAGTCACGCATCACTGCATGGCCCGCTGCCTCGGGAGAAGCGAGAGGTGGGAGGAGGGTGACTGAAGAAAGCCCACGGCCTAGTCTTCCTTCACCTGTCACTTTAGTCCGGCTACAAGCACTTTTCGCTTTGCCTCCAAAAAGAAAACCTCTGGCTGCCCGATCCTGAGCTGGGAATGAACTCAGAGACCCTGAAACAAAGGTAACGCAACAAAACCCCCCAACCAAAACCTGAGGCAACACATGTGGAATGAAGAGCAGGCAGGCAGGAACCCGGGGAAGCCCGGCCCCCGAACGCCCAGCCCAAAGACAGCCTCACCTGCAGGCTGGGCTCCTGCTTTCAGGACTAAAGGCCAAGAGGCAGCCCCAGGGACAAAACTCCGGAGGAAAAGGACCAAGCGTGGGGACAAGGGTTCCTTGAAGGCCACCTGGCTGCCGGTTCCTCTGAGGCCCTGCCCCTCCAAGTGTGACCCCAACCAGCAGGATGGTGGCTGCCCGGCTCTCGGGCCCCACCCTGGACGAGGAAGCAGCGCCTGCACGTTGACCTGAGGCACGGTGATCTATGGGCAATGCCACTGTAAGGCCTGGCTCCCCTGACCCAGCACTTTGGGGGCTCCAATAGGCCCAATGCTCTGGCCTTATTAACGAGAGGAATCTAGATACCCCCCCACACACAAACTTCCTCATGGCTGCTGCCCCTCACAGAAGGTGCATGACAGCTCCCCCAGCCAATCAGGAAGGGGCACTGCTTTCCAATCCCATCTCAGCTCCTGATCTGCCAAACAGGGCGGCCAAGGGGAAGGACAGGTGAAGACGACAATGAGCTCCTGCCCAGGGTCCCTGCTCTGCCCCTTGACCACTCCGGAGGGTGCCAAGGGGAAGGACAGGTGAAGACGACAATGTAGCTCCTGCCCAGGGTCCCTGCTCTGCCCCTTGACCACTGGGAAGACAGATAAGCTGGCCCAGTTCCCAAGTGAGTCCCTGCACTGGGAACGTGCTTCTCAGTGCTGCGCCCTCGTTCTCTGCCTCCCGAACTTGGGGACTCTGGAGTGTGAGGCTAAAGGTGGGGGTACTCCAAGCCACATGCTAAGCAGGATGTTTGTTACAGATACAAACCAAAGAGCATGTTATGGGCTAGAAGGCAAAATCCAATGACTTTCTAACATAAAGAGGAAATGTCACAGAAATGTCCGGTTTGTTAGCAGCCTGCTTGGGGCCACAGGGGCTGGGAGGACAAGTGGGGAGCTGGCAGCCTGCGTGATCTTTCCTCTGCCCTTAGAGGACTCAGGGAAAGGGCTTGAGGAGCACAACCTTCTCACACCTCCCTGGAACCACAGTGGTGGGTGGCCTGGCCCGCCACGGTGCACGGTGCTCCCAGCAGCCCCTGGAGCACTTGAGCCCACACCCCGACCCACAGCCTCTGGCTTCATCAAGTGAGACCAGAACTGGTCTTGATTGAGGTTCCAACAAGGTCTGCAGAGGAATCCATGCCCTCTGGGGGCCGTATGAGCTTGAAAGCATAAGATTCCAAGAACAGAAATAAGGACACTGTACATTTCTCCCATGGTTCTTTGTCCCAGGGAAATCCTAATCACAGATGCCAGGCTTCCTGGGAGGGGCAGCGGGGAATGAAATTACCAGGGCAGGAAAGCAGCCCAAAAAGATTAAACACTACAGCCTTTCCCTACCTTCCCCACAAATATCATGCACATTGTGCTGGACTGACTGTTCTAGGCGCTCCAAATCTTCACCTCCCTATATCCTCCCACTTTGCCACATAACCCACAAAGGCCCTCCCACCTCTCAGACTGGGTCAGCTGTGTGACCAGCTCTGACCAACGGGATGTTAGCAAATGTGAAGCTAGGGCCTGGAAAAGCAATCGTGCATGTCAGCTGGCGCTGCTGCCTTCTGCCATCACCATGAGGAGTGAATGCCCAGGCTAGCTTGCTGGTCCCAGGAGGAGGACAAGAGGCAAGAGAAAGAGAGATGAGTCACCTCCTCACCGTTCCCAGAGCTATCCTAGACCAGCCATTCCCCAGACATATCAGGGAGTCCGGTCAAGGTCAGCAGAGCCGCCTGGCCGACCACCCTACATGACTGAGGAGTCAGTGTAGACAGCTGCCTGCCACTGAGGTTTTGTGGTTGTTTGTTACACAGCATTACTATGGCAATAGGTAGCTGATACAACACAGTAGGTACTCAACTACCATTTGGGTAAACAAGTTACAATTTCATTTTGAACAAATTAATATAATACCAACAGTGCAAACTATGATACCTTCTATACAGGTTTTCTACAAAAATGTATCTTGCGCTGTGAATCGACCGCTCCATTAATCGTACAGGTGACGTCTAAAATAAAACAAAAAGTGATTCACTAAGGCAGGCAAAGAGGAGGAGGTCAGGAAGGCTTGAAGCATGCCTGTGCTCCCCCTGACTGTGCTCTATGCTGAATACAAGAATCGAGAAGCTCACACAGGCCCAGCTGTGTTCCTCCCTCAGCCTGCACCCTCCCCAGACCTGGAAGCTCGGTGGCCAGAGCAGCAGTGCTGGGGCCAGGGCTCGTCAGCAGCAGCCTCCTGCATAGGAGTGGAGAGCCTCGCGGGATGGTGGGTTTAGGGAAGTGCAGCAGTTCAGCAAAGCGGTGTCGAGTGCAAAGTGTGGTGATTACCACGGACCTAAACAGGGTGCCTTTGCTTACGCAGAGGCATCTGAATGCCTGAGGCAGGGCCCAGGGAGGGGTCCAGGTGACATTGGGGGACTCTGCCATCAGTGCTCCAGGGTCTGGCTTTCTGGAGCCCCACAGGCTGTGAGCCCTGCCAACTGCTCCCCTTTCTCTCAGGCTGTGTGGAGGCCACTGCAGCCTTTGGAAACAGGGAAGGACTGTGCCCAGCAGGAAGGAGGACGCACTGACTCCGCCCATCTGTGCAGGTTGCTCACACTGTCCACAGATGACCCTTCCCTTTGTCCACAGTGCCCCACAGGGAAGCAGGAAGAGCCCTTACCCTGGACACCAAGTGGGCAAACACTGCTGTCACTCAGCATGGTACGCATGCACCCACAGCACCCATGGGACCTGAGCCAGCAGATCAGGGTGAGATTCAAAACCATGACCCAGGAATTTCCTAACCCTCTCTCCCTGTGCATCTATCTGTCCATTGTCTTCCCTTCTATTTTCCCACTCTCTCCTTCCTTATCACTCTCCACAACCCATCTTCTGCTAGCTCCCCACACATCCATCTCTCTTTCTGTTCATCTTATGGGTCTCCTCCATGGGATGTCCCGTTATACTCAGGTATGATAGATACTTTTCAGGTTTGCAAGTGACTACCCGCTCAGGAAAAGTAGGGTGAGCACAGGGCAAAGTGCCAACCTCAGATCCTCTAACCGCATCATTTAGACAAACATTTGGGGGGATAGAAATTCAAATCGCTCTGCTCATTATCTACACGGACTTGTAGAAGATTGACAGCTATGGTTGCAAGTGCCCAACCCTTGATCAAACCACCCAAGTAGCTGCATCAGTGTAACTGGCTGTAGGGATCACTTCCTCTTTTTTTTTTTTTTTTTTAGGGTAGGGGCGGGCGATGAGGGAGGGGGATAAGTGGGTGCCGGAGACGGGCGGGAGCTAGTAGGGTCGGGATGGGAGAAAACCTGGTGTAGGGGTCACTTCTTGGAGAGCCCCCGCGGCCGGCCGGCCTTTTAGGTTGCACTTGCAGTTCTGAACCACAGGTGCCAATCGGGATCTCCCCAGCCAGCCTTTCTCCTAAGAGACTCTGCCCTCTTCACATCCCCGCTGATGGAAGAGGCCCGAGGAGCCGGTTTGTGCTCCATGACTTTCCCAACACCTGACTGGCCCGGGGCTGGACCCCTGACCTAGCTGAGCCAATCAGATTTTTTTCTCTCAAGAATTGTGAAGTTTAGAGAGAGGTTCTCAAACATGCAAACAAAGCGTGCATTAAAATCACCCGGGGAGCTTGATAAAACACAGATTGCTGGGCCTCATCTCCAGAATTTCTCATTTGACAGGTCCAGGATGGGGCCAGAAAATGTGCCTTTCTAACAAGTCCTGGTCCAGGGCCACACTTTGAGAGGAACTGAGTTAAAAGGTGGTGAGCCCAGTCATGGTTGGGTCATGAAGACTCAGGCTCACAGTGGTGTCATAGCAACTTCTTGACTAGCTGAGGCTGCTGGGGCAGGGGGCAGGCAGAGACCTCGGCCCAAGACAGAGAAGGCTGAGCAGCGCTGAAGGCCCAGGAGTGAGGCCTCCTTGCGAGGGCCCCCTTCCTGACAATCACAGAGCCCTCATCGGAAGACAATGTTACGAAGGCTGAACCCAAGCGTCTGAAGGTACCTGCGGACAAGTGCGCTGGTCCAGCATGGTGAGCTGCACGTATGTCTGCAGCGTGAGGCCCCATCGACAGGCATCACGGTACATCAGACCCTGCAGAAGGGAGAACGCAGCAACTTACCTCAACGTGCTCTATCTATGGGACTCTGGTCATTCTGGTCACCGATAGCCATCTCGTAATACCTACGTGGGCTGAAGTGGGGCCAGACATAAACCCAGAGTGGACAGAGACAGACACTGGAGTACTTATAAGACAGCCCAGCAACAGCAGTAACGGGAGCCTATAGAAAGTCCCCAGGGAACATCCATTCAGTCACTCAACAATGTTCACTGAGCCCCTGGAGTCTGTTCTCCATCCAGCAGCCAACGTGAGCTTCTTAAACCTAAACCAGGTCTTGTCATTCCCCTGCTCAGGACCTTCCAGGGACTTCCCACTGAATTCCGAATGAAACCCGAAGCCCTTACCAAGGCCCACAGAGCCCCAGACAACCACTTCCATCTTCTCGCGTCTCCTACGATTCTTCCTCTGGCTCAGGAACTTCCAGGCACACGAGCCTCCCTAGTGTCACCAGGATACCGAGCACATTCCCACCTCGGGGCCTCTGCACCTGCCATGCCCTGTCTGAATGCACTTCCTCCAGGCATGTGCGTTGCTCACTCCCCCACTCTGTTTAGGTCTCTGCTCAAATGTCACCTAAGCAGAGACGCCGTCCCCAGCTCTCCTGTGTGAAACAGAAGCCCCACCCCATCACACTCTTTTGCCTGTAGATACAAAACACTTCATGCTCCATATGCCACTTACTAATAGTCTTACTCTTCCACGTTTTTTATTTTCTTTCTTGGCGTTAACTAATAAAACTCCATCTCTGTATTCAGAACTGCAGGCTTCTATGAACCAGGAGGTCACCGTTTGGTTCCCCGGTCAGGACACATGGCTAGGTTGCAAGCTTGATCCCCAGTAGGGGGCATGCAGGAGGCGGCCAATCAATCATTCTCTTTCATCACTGATCTCTCTCTCTCTCTCTCTCTCTCTCTCTTTCTCTCTCTCTCTCTCTCTTCCTCTCTCAAATCAATAGAAATCTATTTTTAAATAAAAAAGAAAGAAAACTACAGGCTCCTAACTTCGGGTAAAAGAAAATCTCAGAAAGGTTGGGAGAAGCACTCCCTCTACCTTCTACATTAGAAAGCCAATTCAGATAGTGATGGACTGAGACTTTTCACTAAACTACCAATCTTGACCTTCCCCCCCCCCCGGAGTGGAAACTTATGCAAAAATATCTAATTCTGTTATATTTGTTATTACAAAACTGTCATTTGAAATGCTCTTTGAACCAAGGATACTCCGAGCTCTGAGCCTGGGACTGTGCCCTATAAACTATCACCATAATCCCTCAAGTCTGCAACGCTAGCTGTCTCAATAACCCAGCCCTGGATGCTCCCGGTTTCCTACAGAATGAGAATGTTTCTGAGGCTTTCCTGTGAGGCCCAGAGAGAAAGACTGGCCTTCTGTCTCCTCCCACATGCACAGAGGTGAAAGGTCTGTTCATGTCTCTGGGATCCTTTATTCAAAGACTCTGAGAGTTTCTGCCTTATTTAAATAATATCCTTTTACCTGCTTTAGATTTCTTCATAGCTCCAATCACTACCTGCCATATCATTCATTTAACTGTCTTCTGCCTCCCAAACCAGAATATTAGGGCCAGGAGAGCAGGCGCAGGCAACAACTAGTGGTTGAATGAATAACAGAAGAAGCACCTACTAAGTGCTCAGCAGTGTGCTATGTTCTAGCAAACAACAGTGAGCCAAATGAGACACAGTCCCTGCCCTGTGGAACTCAAGAGTCTAAGAACCACACCAGGAGAGTCCACTGTGTTGCTAGAAATGAGGGGACCCTAGAGGCTCCCTCTAGTCCCAGGTTCAAACCTAGGTCTATCATTTACCAGTGTGAGACCTTGGCAACATATTTCAGTTACAGTTTCCTTGCCTGAACAAAGAAGGGGGTCATCCCTACATCAGGGGGCAGGCTCCCAGACCAGCAGCCCTTTGATAAGCTCCCTCTTACAGGACAAGACTCCAGCCTTCACGTGCACGCAGCCAGAGCAGAGCCTTCTGAAGGGGGAAGGAGAACAAGGGGCACAAGCACACTAGAGCCCCTGCTTGCTAGGTCCACCCTTGGGAAAGCCGACAGGAAGCCGCAGGGTGAGCCTGAGGCAGCCCCTGGGCATTGCTAAGCGCAAATCCAAATCAGAGGTTTACCAAGGAAACTGGTTACTTAGAGAGGATGGGTCCTGGGGAGGCCAGGCCTGAGAAGACCTGGTTTCTAATGGGTTTCTTCCAGGAGAGGGTGGGAGGAGAAGGAGCAGCAGGAGGCAGACACCCCGGGAACCAAGGCTGACACCTGAGATCGTCTGGGATCACTGACAGGAGGTCGCTGGGCTCTGCACCTGCCCAGCCCAGTCTCCAAGATCCCTGACCTCAGAACACCTTCATGCGGCCACGGCCACTTTCCATTGTCTCCTCCTTCTCCGCCCCCAGCCCAGCTAAGAGCGTGGGGAATGCGCCTCAGAACACCTACATGCGGCCCATTTCTCCGCCCCCAGCCCAGCTAAGAGCGTGGGGAATGCCTGGGCAGGGGGCGGGCTCAGGCACTGACAGTCACTCAAGAGGAAGCTGGTGGTTCACGCGGAAACAGCACACTCACCAGAGGATTGTGGCCACGGACATCTCTCCACTTGTGCACAGGCTCCGGAATCACCTGCAGGGAAAGGAAACATCAAAGGGCTGCTGCTCCTCTGAGCTGAGCTCTGTGAAATGAAAGCTGGTAAGTGTTGTGGTGGAGGGGAGGGAGAAAATGAAGGTGTGGGCATCCAGGTTGAGCTAAAATAGTTGAGCAACCCTCTGTGCGAGGCCATAACTCCATCTAAACATGGCTTCCTCAGGTGACTTCCAGAAATGGCTCGAGACAACACTATCCATCCCTGCATACAAGGGTAGGCACATGGCACCTCTGGCTGCCCTGGAGCTCCCTAAGGGCCAGGGAGGTTCTCTCAATCCCTCCTCTGGGTGCTCCATCCCAGCCCTCACTGCCGGCGTGTCCGGCTGGCAGAGGCGAGAGAAGCTACTTCAGGCGCCTCTGGCTTCAAATCGAAGCCCAACTTCCAGCTTGGAAACTCTCCTGGGACCTTGGCCACTTGCTCTGCCTCCATTTCCTCCCTCTGATCTCTGCACTGAGCACAGTGACCGCTAAGAATCTTGTTTCTTCATAGGTCAACGCCCAATCACTGAGCCACACAGGCTGGGCAAACCCTGTTTTAATAGAAGTAAAAACAGAAAAGGAAAGAAGGAAAGCAAATGACCCTGAAGTTTAAAAATTATAGGGTCTGCGGAAAAAAAAAGCCATACACAGAAGATTACAGCACTAAAATCTACAAGGAAAAAGGGTCATGTCAGGTCAGGGTCTTGGTGTAGAGATTATTCTTAGTGACTGGGCTGTAAATAAACTAGAAATTGTGTTAGCTGGCTATGCATGGTAGTACTCCCTGCATGCTCAGACGTACACTGTAACATCCCAGCCACGCTCAATAGTTTGCCTTCTTTCACATGTAAACGCTTCCTAACCAGACTGTGGGGAGCTCTGTCCCTGCACGGTCCAATACCGTGGCCATGAGCCAATGTAGCTATTAAAAAGTTGGAATGGGTCCAGCCGGTGTGGCTCAGCAGTTGAGCGTCAATCCAGGAACCAAGAGGTCACTGGTTCGATTCCTGGTCAGGGCACACGCCCAGGTTGAGGCTCAGTCCTCAGTAGGGGGCGTGCAGGAGGCAGCCGATCGATGATGCTCCTCTATTGATGTTTCTATCCCTCTATCCCTCTCCCTTCCTCTCTCTAAAAATCAATAAAAACATATTTAAAAAAGAAAAAGTTGGAATGGGACTAGTTCAAATTGAGATATGCTGGAAATATAAAATACATTCCAGACTTCAAAGACTTAGTATGAAAGACAGAATGCAAAATAGCTCATTGATGATTTTTATACTGATTACCTGTTGGAGTGATAACATCTGGAATGTATAATGTTAAATAAAATATTCTTTTGGGGTTGTTGTTTTTTTAGCAAGGCTATTAGGAAGTTTACATTCTACATGTGGCTTGCGTTTGTGGCTCGCATTATATTTCTACTGGGCAGGGCTGGTCCACACCCCCTATGAATTACTCCGTCAAGCTTAGGAACCTGCTGTGGAGGCCGTACCTCGATGTCTGTTGTGTTGGCGAAGAACTCCAGGCACGTCGTCTTCCCGCTGGCTATATTGCCCTCAACACAGATCTGGCAAAAGACAAATGCATGTTAGAACCCGAAATCAAGCCCCTGGGGGAATATCGGGAAGAATCTCTACAGAGGGGCTCAGGTAAACAGTATAACTGGTTTAGTCCAAGACTTGAAAGTGTACACAAAACTCCCTCCGCAGGAAACCCCCAAGGCCCCAGTTAGTAATAAACAAACTGAGCCTCCCCTTCTGGGGCAGGCTCCGGGCCCACCGCTGGGGGCCACCAGACCACTGCCCTCCAGGACAGACCCGCCCTTATGTCAACCCCTGGACCATACACAACCTGCCCCCTGCTACCCTAGCTCGGCCCTTCCCTAGCTCAACCCCTCAGACTATTAGATTTTAGGCCTAAATGTGCTGCCTTCTTAACCTCTGATGGCTTTGGGATTAGAAAGCATGTATATGTTATCTAGAGCCTAACTGGCTGCTTCGTGCAGGAACATGTGCTCAGTCATGGACTGGCAGGCAGGAGCCGCTGGGGACTTCGGTTCCCGCAGGTCACAAGAGGAAACGGGAAGTCCCGCCTACGGAAGAAGACACACTGGCCCTTGAGAACATCCCGGGGGCACAGCCAGTGAAGGACCCATCCTGCTGCACAATGACCTTTACACTCGGCTGGAGGCACCCAGAGAAATGTGGGCCACGTCAGTGACTTGCCCAAGGTCCCAGGCCTAGCAGGGGAAAGAGCTGGAACTCACACCCAGGCCTGGCGGACCCCTTCTCATGACCCCCATCGAGTCTCAGTCACACCCGACATAAAACATGGGGCATAATTTGCCCCACCTCCTGTGAAAACGCTCTCAGTCAGCAAAGGTTTCCCCCTGCCGTGATCCTAAAATGTACCCAGGAGAGCTGGGTAATCACACTTCCCTCAGATGCCAGGCCACCCTCCAATCCCAGCTCCCTGCCAGCTCCCTCCTTTGGAAGGGGAAACCATAAAATGAACCCAAAGGGGTGCGCAAAAGAGCGATTCCATTAGGGCACTAGTGGATTTGATTTTTCATTGTGCTTTTTCTTTTGTTTGTTAATCGAGGTTATTTTTTCGATGGATTTTTAGAGAGAGTGGAAGGGAGAGAAAAACATCCATGTGAGACAAACACGTCATTTGGCTGCCTCCTGCATGCAACCCCAACCGGGGCCAGGGATTGAACCTGCAACCCAGGGATGTGCCATTGACTGGGAATCCAATCCACAGCCCTCTGCTGCACAGGCTGACGCTCTAACCACTGAGCACACCAGCCAGAGCTTGTTGTTCTTTAAAGGAAACTTTTCTTCTTCCTAAATATTTAAAAAGAGCCCAACTAAACATCACTCTACACAGACATTGTTTCTTTCTACAAAGAACATGTTGTTCAGATGAAACCTTCTTCTGAAAATACTTGTTCTAACTCCCACCATGAAATCCTAAAAGTTGGTAAATCTAAGGCCGTCGATTAATGACAGAGCAAGCAAGGCATGAAGAATCCCACAAAGTTCCCCTGTCACCGAGAAAGAAAGAGGAACCAAGCAAAGGAAGTGTTTAATTTTTCTTAAAAGTAGTATCTAAAAATACTATAGGAGAAGAGCATGCCCACTGAAGAAAATAGAAAAACTTCATAAAGGAGAAAACTTCATAAAGTCTATACTCCACTACTGAGAGACGAACATCATGGCATTTCAGCATGCTTCCGGCCTGGATTCGTTCCCCTGTCACTGAGGAAAGAAAGAGGAACCAAGCAAAGGAAGTCTTTCATTTTTCTTAAAAGTAGTATCTAAAAATATTATAGGACGAGAGCATGCCCATTGAAGAAAATAGAAAAACTTCATAAAGGAGAAAATACCGTCTACACTCCACTACTGAGAGATGAACATCATGGCATTTCAGCATGCTTCCGGCCTGGATTATTTTCTACACACATTTCTCATCTTTGAGTCTTTCAACTGCTCACTGAAGGCCTAGTATGTGCCAAGCACTGTGGACTCGGGAGCCGGTCCCAGCACCCACACAGCGGGCAGTGAGTGTGAGGATGGGAGGAACAGGAGATTAAAAGAGATTACAAGAAAAGATGTTCGCCATGCTGGGGGAGGATGTGGCCAGCCTGGCCCACCTCTCTGCCACGTGCCAAAGTTTACATGTTCCTTGTCAAAGTTCAACTTCCTGTGGTTACAATTAACACTGCGATGCACCACCTAGCCTAATTTTTCAATAACAACATTTAATCTTTCCTGAATAGAAGCTAAGCATTCTTGCAGTATGAGATACTGAGAACCAAAAGGAGAAAATAAAAATCACTCGTGATTCCAGAGATAACGGCCATTCCGATGTTTTATCAGAACCAAACTTTCCAGAGGCAAACAGGCTCGGGCTAGGGCTTCGAAGCCCCCACCGGAACCAAAAGACCCTGAGAAATAGGCGGTAAAAAGGAAACTTACCCAAATGTCCAACAACTGGTAGATAAAGTGTGGTACGTCCACACAATCGAATACTATTTGGCAATAAAAAGGAATGAAGTACTGATACATGCTACAACGTGGATGTGCCTCAAAACAAGCTAAGTGAAAGAAGCTGGATACAAAAGACTGAATGCTGTATGATTCCCTTTTATCAGAAACTAGTGAACCGGTACACGGATTCATGCACATTGAAAGGAAATTAATTTGAAGGTGGCCAGTAGGGCGGGACTGGGCAAGACAGGCCGGACATGCCCTGGAGCCAACCTCTCTCGGTCCCTCCCCAGCGTCTGCAGAGTGAGCAGGGTCTCTCCGGCAGCAGGTGGGGTCCCTCGGCCTGGCCTGCAGGGATCGGGCCCAAAACCGGCTTTCCGACATCCCCCTCCCCAACCCCCCCCAGGGGTCCCAGAGTGCGAGAGGGCACTCTGCAAAGTTACTATCATACAGGGTGTGGAATGCAAACTCAAGTGTGCAGTAAACCAGATTCGGGCCCACAAAGCCCCAGCAACAACATAACCCACGGCCGAAGGTGGAATCACGCAGCCCCACAAGGAATCGGGCTCCCTCCTCTCTGGTTTTGGGGTGCATCACCCAAGAACTGCTGCTGCCAAGTCACTGCAGCTCGGCAGCTCCTGCATTGAGTGTCTGCCCCCTGGTGGTCAGTGGGCATCATAGCGACCAGTCGGATGGTCGGACACTCAACATATTGGCCTTTTATACATAGAGATGTTCATGTGCTCGCTTCGGCAGCACATATACTATACATAGAGATGTTCAGAAAAGCAAATCCACAGAGAGGAAGTAGATTAGTGGTTGCCTGAAGCTGGGGAAGTGACTACGAATGGGCAGGAGGTTTCTTTTCCTAGGGATAGAAATATTCTAAAATTAGACTGTGGTGATGTTGCGAACTCTGTAAATTTACTAAAATTCACTGAATTGTACACATAAAATGGGTGAACTTGGGGGTATGTAAATTAAACTCACTAAAGCTGCGTTGCTGTGGGGTTGTGTGTGTGTGTGTGTGTGTGTGTTTTTAAGGAACCCTGTTTAATTTAACAGTCAAATAACTCTGGGAAGACTCCTTACCCCGCAAATTCTCTCTCCCTGTCATTCAAACCCACTGTTAACACTCCCCAATTTTCCCTTAACCAGACTGACACTTTCTGCAATAGTTTGCAATACTTCTTTCTGGGGGTTTTTTCCGATAGAAAGTGTATATGTTATTTCATTTGATCCCTACTTCATAGATTTTTATCCCTGGTGTTTTTCTTTTCATCTCTTACATCATGAGTACCTTTCCAGGTCATTAAATATTTTTCAAAAACACGATTCTGAATGGGTGACTAATATTTCATCATGTAAGCTGGGGAGGGAGTCTGAGGCCCAGGGATGGAGACAGACCTCCCTCCTATCCCTGGAGATCCTCTGGTATTTCTGTTTTTATACTATCCCTTCACTCCCCTCCTCAAAATGAATTATGTATATGGAGAGTGCACATAAGAGAGGGACTTACCACGGACTTTTTCTCTTTCTCATTTTCTTTATCTACAAAAGAAAGGAAATCTGTATTGAAGCGCAGTTTTCAATGATTCACTCTTCTTCGTCCTGATTAGCTAACCCACCACAAGAACAGAGCTGTTGACGCTTGCTCCCTGACCTAAAAATGTTTTCCGGGGACACCCGGGGCCTCCGTGGCTGCACAGAGGCAGACCCACTGCACGTGTCTACCTGTGTGCCTGGGCCCCAGCCGAGCCGGCGTTTTCCCTTGGTTATAACATCTGACCTTCCATTTCCCACACATTTCATCTCTCTGATCCTCACAAGCTGGTGCCCAGGGAGAACACAGAGCGGGCCCCCCTCGCACGCACAGGTAAGAGTTGGCCGTGGGGAGATGGGGGGTAATGTGGGGATAAGGACACAAATGTAATAACTTAATAAAAAAATTTTTTAAAAATTAAGTGCCGAGGACAGCTTAAAAAAAAAGAGTTGGCCGTGGCCATAGGTTTCCTGCCCAGGACTCGGGTTTCTCTTCTAGGCCCAGGGATGGCATCGCGCCCACCCCACCCCCCTCACAGGTGGTTCTGCGGAGCCACCCAACAGCCCGAGCCCAGGGACGAGGGACCGGCTGCTAGCAGCGCCCCCTGCTTTCGAGGGGGAGGGTCTCCACTCGTGGGGGGCTGTCTGTCTGCGACTCCCAGCCTCCGCCTCCCCCGCGGCCAGAGGAATCGGCCCAGGAGGTGGGGGGGGGGGGGGGGAGCAGCCTCCGCCATGGGGAGTGGGGTCCTTCCTGCCCTTTAGGGGGCTCCCCAACTCCGAACAAGAGAAAGCCCCGAGCCCCCC